AATAGATTTTTTTAAATTTTAATTAAAAAAATTTTTCAAAAATATTTTCCTAATTAAAATTCAATATTTTATTTATATTGTGTCCTGTCTTCTATTTCTATATTACTTATGAATTAGCAATCACACAAGGTGGGAATTTTATTCAGTTTGCATTAAAACTTTTTTAACTGTTCAACTTGGCTCCCCAAGGTTAAATCTCAAGTGCATCACTGAAAGCATCAAACTCATTCTTTGAACATCTGCAGACATCCAGCTACACATTCCAATCATAGTCTTCACTAATCAGTTTGTGCACATATTCAATGAGAGGATGACAAGTTACCAAAAATGATGAGTTTTACAGATAGTGATGATGATAGTATAAATAGCAAAATTTTCCTAAAGGTTTCATATGTTCAAATTCATATACACATTAACTATGTACTGAAGTGACTATTTATATTTGGAGTTAAATTTTAATTAAAAAAGTACTGACTATTCAGTGGCTAGTTTGAATTTAGTGGAATTTGTGTTGTGGTGTTTTGCAGTGACACCTTGGAAAAAAAGTGTTATATTCTTTATTAACATGTGCAATTGATGCTATTATCAAGTGTAGCTTATAAAGGATGATAACTTTTATCCCAGTGTCAAGTTGTAGACAAAAAAATTAGATTACATGTATTTTTTTCTTTGAACAACATGATGAATTTTATAGAATGTCACGTTTCTGGGATCCTAATGTAATAATTATTTGAAAAGTCGGTATAGTTTATTCTATGTTAAATTAAAATTCAATTATTATTTAGAATAAATTTTTGTTCCTATACTTTTAATGAATTATTTGAGATAGTTAAATATGATATTAATGCTTTAAATCAGAATTCTGAATCTGTCACCCCATACCTGTTTGGGTTACAATTTTCAAATTGTAGACCTGTAAGTTCTCGTTGCTGTCTGTCCTTCATTAATCTTAAGAACAGAGTTAGATAGATGAAAACTGAGAACAGATATGGAAAGCTTAGGAGTGGGAGGCCCCAATTTATTTTTAAATTAAAATATATTAAAAATTGCTATCCAGCATTGTGACAAGTCACAATAAATAATCAAGATTTTTCATTTTTACAATGTAACTCTTGCATGTCTATGAAAGATTCATTGAGCTCTTTTTTTTTAAGATGGTAAGACAGTCACTTATTCTCATATTAGTCTAAAAAGTTAAGCTAAAATATATTTAGACAAAGTAATACACCCAGACTCCCAGGAAAGGTATCTTGCACTAAAGGGAGTGCACATCAAAGTTTAAAAATCACTGCCTTAATCAATTTTTATACATTCAAAGAAAAAACTTTTACTTAAAAATCCTCTAAATAATTTTTTAAAAATTACTAATTAATGCAATAATTATTTTAATCAGAGTCGTCAGAGTTTATATCTCGGTTTAATGTATTTTTAATTATAAATTTGTATTAAATTTTAAAAAATAATAAATGTTAGAAATTAAACAAATATAAATACTGTAAAAATAAATTAGCATGAGTTCAATTTTCATTTTTAATGTTTGTTGTTTGTTTATTAAGTTATGGTAATGCACCACTTGGACAATCTGCCTAGAGGGATGCCTTCCGGGAGGTCTTTTTAAGGGTAGCTGGCTCCTATTCAGCTATTACAGAAGTGGAAAAAATCCGACAAATTCTACGACCAGCCCGTCCTGGCAAAGTGCGAACCCACAACTGAACTTCCAGTGTTCAGGAACAGAACCACTCGGCCACTGGTGGTCCTTTCACTTTTAAACAAATCATTATAGTATAGATAATTTTGATATGTATGATTATTTTTTTCATACAAATTAAATACATTTTGGCATTAATTTTTACTTTTCTTCTTTGATGCACTTTCAACAAAATTAATAAAATGTATCATACATCTGAATAATAATTCCATATTTTCAGTAAATTCAGATAAATAATATATTTGAAATATAAAAATAATGATAAACTTGTATATTTTATTAATAGTTATAATTATCTTCCATGTTATAAATGGAAGATAATTATAACTATTAATATTTTATTAATAGTTATAATTATCTTCCATGTTATAAATGGAAGATAATTATAACTATTAATATTTTATTAATAGTTATATTAAAATAATTTTTTTATTTGTTTAAAACTAGAAATTCTTGAATTATTATTAAAGCCATCATTTAAAATTTTGCTCTAAATTTATTTACATTTGATCATTTTAAAAATATAAAGTCAGAACTTTAATTATTTAACTTGATATAAGTAACAATTCTTTTTTGACACAAACAAAGCAATCAATTTTTATTTATGTACTCACCTGCATTCAGATGAAAAATTACAGTTATTATGATTAGAGTTTAGATGAGGATTATTTTTTGATCTTGAACTTCCATCCGCTCTATGTGAATTATATATGGTAATTGAAGGAACTCGAGCTCCATCTTCAGGGAACGAATCATTAGAAAAAATCTTTCCGTTTCGTGCTCCTCCACGACCATGGAGTGGCAATTTAAAAAAATTAATTACATGATCACATTCCAGAATGTGAATAGGAAGATGCGTTGTCAATTGCCTATTAAAACAAAATTGATCATTTTTGTTTTATTAAACTGCAAATTATAATATTTTGAAGTTCAATAAAATTTTAATTATATTTATTAGAAAAGCATTTTTATAATTGAAGCCCTCAGGATCATATAGTGCTAACCGTCAGAATCACATCCGAGGTAACTGAGTTTGAATGTTCAAAAAAAGTCCTAAAATCATATAAATAGTTGTGTGTTAATTAATACTTTTGCTCTCTGAACATTGCCTGTAGATGTGGCTACCATCTCATCATTTTGAGATTTTTCATTTTTGGATTTTTTTCCAAACATTTAAATTCAATTACCTCAGAAACAGGATTCTGAGGGTTAGCACTATGTGTCTCCAAGAGCTTCAATTTGTCACACTTCCATGTTCTTTTAAATATATATATTTTTTAATTTTATGTATCAGATTTTAATTTTTGACAAATACTTTAAAGGTAAAAAAAATTAATGTAGCTATTGTATGACTATTTTTTGAATCTATATAAAAAAATAGAACCAAACTTAAAAACTTTGCACTTAAAAGTCATTGTTATAGAAACTTAAAGCACTACATATGAAACAGAATTATAAAAGCTGGGTATTACAGATGATGAAACCAAACTCTCTACTTATAAATATTAGTTATAATGTTAAAGTATTGATAATTTTAAGTATGGTAAAAATTCACTTATAATACAGTTGAAAATTTAAATTACATCAAATAAAACTTATGTTTAGAATAAAAAATAAATTTAAAAGTTGTATTAAACATTATCAAGTATAATCATAAAACAAAAAAAAAATGAAATGAGTAAGAAAATTTGATTAAAATATAATGCAACATTAATATCATCATTAAATTTCAAATTATAACTTGATTTACCTAAGATAATCATTTAGAGCTGAAATGGCTTCTTCAGTAATTTCTTCGTTTTGACTAGTTATAGTAACTATATCAATAAAAAGCAAGTAACAAAATTAAATTTATCTCTAAAATCTTTCATTAACAAATAATAAAATACTAAACTTAACTTGTTATATACTATTATTACTTTTTATTTTTTTATCGAAATACTTCATGAATTTAAAAATTTTAAATTTGCTTTAAAACATTATATCAAAAAAAAAAAAATCAACACACCTGAACCAATTACGGTGTGATCATGCAAAAGATCGGAAAACAAACGTTTTCGAACCCCTTCTGGGTTCTGCTTCAGGTTCTAATCAGCTTCTAAAGACGTTCGATGTCCGTTATAAGTAGAAATTCGATCGTTCATGTCGTTTAAAGCTTGAAATTTAAGTTGTAGGTTCGAATGGATTCACGTAATCCAAGTNATGGCTGTTGTTGACCAGCTCTGAAAATATAGACAAAAATAGGTTAATTATATTTTATTATTAAAATTCATTGATAAAGCTTAGCTTGAATTTGAGTCTGAGATTAATCACTCAGTTTATGATGATTAAATATAAAACCTAGTGACTTCTACACTTTGCCTTAAAAAAGACTAATGCAGAAATAAATCATATGAATAATGTAAGGAAGTCACAATTCAAAAAATATAATAAGTCTACTAAATAAATTTAATTTCATCTGTCATATTTTAATTATTTTTCTTCATATATTAAAGTGAAGATATAAATTATTTTGAATGTATATTTTCCATAATATTAAATTGAAAATTGAAGTAAAAATTATTATAGAAAATTACAACAAAATCTAATCAATTGTNCTGACTAGTTATGTTTGACTATAATCCACAAATTACTAAAACTGAAATAATTCAATAAATGAAGATAGATAGATGAAGAAAAATTGTCTTATTAATTAATTAATGAAAAGAAATCAATTTAAGAAGACTAATAGTACTAACATTTCAATAATATTACACAATGTTATATCAAAAGAGCAGTCACACAGAATTGAAAAGAGAGAAACACAGAAATTAAAATTTTTGACCATTTGTAAGAGTTACAGGATTTAATGAAAGAGAAATATAGCTATTAAAAATTAAGTATAAGTATCAAAATAGTATCTGAAATTAAGAATTATTACAGGAAGTAGTTAGGACATGAAGAGAACAGCAGCAAAAACCTATCACATCTGGCATTAAATTGTAAATAAATATTTTGAGAAATGAGAGAAGGCTTAACAGAAAAATAATAATAATCTAATCTCTATTGTTATATGTAATTTTTCTAGTTATTAAGATCAGTTTTTAATTAATTTTTTAAAAAACTCAAAAATAATTTAGATAGAAGTTAAATTAAACCAATTATAATCTCAACGATGATAATAATCTTGTAGAAAATAGCACATACATTATCCTGGAGACATTTTAGTTTAATTTTAAAAAAAGAGCATAATAAGTATCAAATCATAAATAATTATCAAATTCAACAGTTAAAAAGTTCAAAATTTAAATAAACTAAATTATTTTAATTATACCTTTTGATGGAAGACAATAATTTCATGACTTGTTTTTAACACTTCATTGTATCTACCATTTGACCATATAGCCTATAAGCAAATAAAATTGTCAGTTTTTGACATTATACAATTATATAAAATATTCATATATGATAAATGGCTAAATAATAAGAATAAATCAGTTACAAGAATAAAATATTGCATATAATTAAAAACTCTGACATTTGCTACATGTAAATTCAATTATATTTTAAAATTTATAAAGCTACGTACATTTATAAATATTTTACTTACTCTTATTCTGTATGACCTTCGTTTATAAACTGATTTTACTTTCAAATTAGAAATCCTTGCTAGAAAAAGAAAATTTATTGAAAATTAATTGCAACAGTTATAGAGTTATATTTGCTTATATAATTTCATAAAAATCATTAAAATATAAAAATTCAAAAACTTCTATACTATTAAAATTAGAATTGTTTAACTTAAAACATTTTTAAACTATAAATCATTACTAATTTTTTTCAGAAAAGATTTGATTTTCCCGAATAACATTATAGGAAGTTCAAGTGTGCAATACACCCACACTTAAACTTCCTAACTTGTAGCTCAACTTTTTAAACCACAAAGACACACAGATTCATGATATAAAAATGTACAAAGCATTACAGATTCATAACACAATGTTTTCAGAGTTCCACTGTGCTTTTTGTTTCAAATTTTTGTTCTTCCTCATGCTTGAAATCATCAAATTCCACTGTGAATTTTAAATGTTTAAATGTTGAGAATTTTATACTGCACATTCTATTCTAAATTCGAAATGCTCATTAGCAATGATTTTGTATTGTTGAAAGTACTTGCATTATAAAAAAGATTTTAACACCATCTGATAGTGTTTAGTTTGTCTATTATTGAATAACATTTTATAAACAACATATGTATTTTCAATTGTTGAGTTTAAATACATTTAGTACAATTCCAGTAAAGTTATATAACTTTATTAGAGTTGTATTAAAACTTTTAGCTAGTTTTTACATTTGATAACAATGGAAATTCTTTCAATGTATTCAAACACTTTCATGAATTTTTTTCAAATTTTATCATTGATTGCAATATTGCAATCAGGTGCAATATGCACCTGCAATATTTTTAGAATATTTGTTTTATGATAATTACTAATAACTTTGTGTCTTTTAATTCTAATTTAAAAAAACATATTCTAATACAATTTATTGTATTTGTAGTCTCAAATCATTACTTAAAATGATATTTAAATATTTTTATAAGAAAATTACTGTTACATTCTAATTAAGCAACAAATACTTGTTTGATATTATATTTTTATTTAACCTGGTGTGAGTGAGGTCAGGTATGTCGTAACCGAGAAGTTTTTAAACACAGATTACTTAATGTTATTGTTGCCATGCAAATCCTGTCGTCACAGTAGCTGGAGGTAAGGGAGTGGGGCAAGGTACAGTGTTGAGTTTAGTGTCGCACCGTCGTCAGCAGGAGATACACATGCGCAAAGGTGGCTGGGGTACATCACACCCAACCTCATAGTCGGTGTTACATTTTTGAGTTGACAGTAAGTTTATGAGTTATAGTTATTTATAGTATTCTTAGATTTATTTTTAGATTTTTCAAGATGTCTTATGAAGAAAATGAACATTGGCTACAAGAATTATTAGAAAACTGTTCAAGTGCTAGTTCCTGTGACTCCAAGAGCGAAGAAGAGATTGACAAAGTTTCTCAAAGAAGTGAAGAAAGCGATTCAGAGCAGGAGGGTATTTTGGATGATTCAGAAGAGCCGGAATCTGCATTGCAACTTCATTTGTAATTTGGGTTTGAATCTGATAAATGATAGTCTTCGCATTAGACAACAAAATGTACATCTTCCAAAGAAAACTTGAAAGAGGATTGCTGATCAACTGGGAGAACCTTCATCACCAGTTCCCAAAAAAATGGCTGGTAAATATGTCAGGTGTGGTGACTGTACTAAATAAAAAGAGGAAAACAAAACATTGCTGTTCGAAGTGTGAGAAGCCAATATGTATGGAGCACGTGAATTTTACGTGCAGAGATTGTGCTGATTTGTAGGTGTAATGTTGGTGCTGTGCTAATTGATCTCATAAGACCTTTTAGTTTTTTTTTCTATTTTTATAATTAGAAGATACTATAATTATGTTGATTAACCAAAGAAGTTGTAATTTTGTTAGAATTTTACACAAAAAAAATGTTAAACTACCAAAACTTGTACTTTTTCAAAGAAAATATAGACATTTTGTTATTTCAATAAAAAAAAAACACTTTTCAATCTTAAACATAGTATTTTATTTACTCATCTTGTTGAATGGATACTATTATTATTATCCCAAGTAAAAAAATATTTAATATATAATTATAGTATCAAAAATTCAACATCAAAGTTTCAGGTATCTCCTGTGAGGATCCGAATCCAGACTTTCAGTATATTTATATCATTACATCATAATATCACATCGTAGCTATACTTTCGTTAACTAACTGTCAACTTTTACACCTGGGAGCTAAACNTATTTACTCATCTTGTTGAATAGATACTATTCTTATTATCCCAAGTGAAAAAATACTTTATACACAATTATAGTATAAAAAATTCAACATCAAAGTTTCAGGTATCTCCTGTGAGGATCCGAATCCAGACTTTCAGTATATTTATATCATTACATCATAATATCACATCGTAGCTATACTTTCGTTAACTAACTGTCAACTTTTACACCTGGGAGCTAAACATCTGTTAAGTTCTCAGGCGTAATAACGACGCTTTCTCATCACCTTTCGACCTAATATCGCAATTTCAACAGTACAACATTAAAACAGAACAACAGAGTGACGCAGTCATCACCCCATCCTCGAAGAGATCAGTCTCAAGTTCCGTATCTTTTTCCATGTACAGTGTGCTTTTCACTGGACCATCGGACTTATTTAAGTGCCTATTCTCTGGATTAACATCGACCCAAAATACTTGATTGCCTAACTGGACTAACTTCGTTGTTAAGACCTACTAGCAACTCACTAAAAATCAAGGTATTTATTGCCACGCGCAACTTCTGTAAACTTTCTCTCTCGAGAACTGTGGAACTGTAACCGAAATCTTAGATCCATTTTAAAGTCTATTATATATATATATAATATCAATTGTGCAAAGATCTCTAACAACTAGCATATTTAAAATCGATATATTTTATATCCTGAATGGCTTATAGTTACCAATTAAACAGTTGTTACGTTTAATCATCTCTGAGTAAGTCACTTCCGGCACGCTGTCTCTCCCTCCATCCCGAATCCGTTCGCTCACAAATGCGACTGCTCACACGCCCGAATGAAACGGTTTCTGTGTCCGCCAAGACGCGGTGGTGTCATACTGACAGGGGCATCAAAGAGGTGCCGATACCTCGGTCATACTCCTACTCGCCTCATAGCTGGTGTAACAATTTCTCACCTTATTCACGCCAAGTTAATAAATCATCTAAAGGACAATACTATTTCCAAATAAATATTTCTTTTCATTTAAATTTTATTACTACAAATCATTTAAACTTTAAAGTAATCAACATCTTTTGAATGAAAAGTTCATTAATGATTACTATGTGAAAATCTACTAGATATTAGGTACAGATTTTTCACAAGGTACTCATGAATTACTATTTCAAAAAATATGTATGTTATGACCAAGGTATGAAGTCTCGCCAATTCATAAAATAGTTAGACTTCAGACATTGACCATAAAATATATAATAAAATACTGAATATATATTATGCAAATTGATGTTCTCAAATCAAAATAATGTTGATACAAAATATCATAATCTACAGCATAATAATAATAAAAAAATAATTAACATTTTACTTCATCAAAACCACTATAATAAAAGCATACTAGATGATAAATCATCATCACAATAAATGCTTCACAATTACTGTAATTTTATTTTGAAAATAGATCTGGATAAATATAAATTTTGTAAATATGTAGTTTTGATTACACAGTATCTGTATAAATCATTGTAAAATACAAATTTAGTAATGTTTTAAAAATTTATTATTTTATCTGAAATCACATTTCCATTGATAATTAATAATTAGGATAACATTTCATAAAATGCAAATGAGGGAAATAAGCATTTTTTGACAATTATCTGATTAACTGGCCAGTTATATATATAAGCAAAAATATTTATTAATCAGAAAATAGAAAGTAAGAGATTAAGTCACAACTTCTTGCTATTCATTTTTCAATATTTCTACTACTGATACTTTGATAAATCATTAACAAAATATCTCAGCTTATTTACAGGATGATTAACAAATACTTATATAATAATTTAGCATGTGTAACTGTTTTTAATTGAGTGAAATATCTAATGAGCCTTTGCTTTTAGCTTTTTAAGTAAATTGACATGCAAATGAAATTTTTAATTACAAGTTTTTCAAAATCAATAAATTATTAAAAGATATTTTCCAGTTATAAGTTGCACCCATAAGCTTTCAGGAGCTTTCATGTTTTGAAAAGAGAGGGAGATTGTCCTTTTCTTTCTCAGAAGGGGACAACAGGGATCATGTGGAGATGCTTGTAAAAATGTACATCCCAATTTCATCCACAGTTGAAAAAATGTATATATATAACTCGAAAATTAACCAGAAGAATAACATCATATTTTAACTTACTTGGAGTCTTCTGCGATGATGAATTTCATTTAAAAACAAAAAAAATTAATGTAAGAAATGCCCTAGGGTGGTATTTGGCTCGGCAACACCATAGTACAATATTCAAAATGTCTTAAAACTTACGATACGCACGATAATCTCCGTTGGTAGCAACTTGTAGGCCATTTTCAGGCAACCTGACGAGCGTGGTCTTGTGGGTTTTGGTTGTGGAGACATCTCAGAAAGCATTATCTATCGGTGTTAGAGCGCCATTTACAGCACTAGCGGACAATATTTAAGTAACGTCGTTTGTCTCAAGTACAACTCCATCACTATAGTAGACTCCACGTGAAACATGACAAGATACTGCTGATTATTTCCTTAATTATATCTTTTTAAAAATGTGAACTTTAATTACGAACAAACTGTAAATTATGATATGTAAACAGTAGGCGAGCACATTATATAAAAGTTTAATAATGAAGCTTATTAAGTTCGACTTAACGTTGTACATTTTTCAAATTTTTTTCGACAAATGCCACTTCCTAAATCTGAAGTTATTTAACTTGTTAGTACCACTGCCTTACCCTATTAATTACACGAAATCCAAGTAATTAACCTTGAAGAATAAATGTTTTGTCAGAATTAACGGACGAAAATTACT